TCGCTCGTTTAATAACCCGATCTTTTTTAAGAAGATGTCGAGCCTGTATTGCGGCTGAAGGAAAACAGTTTGAGCATTTGCTGTAAAGGTAAATCATCATCAGCAGCATTTTGACGCCCACTGTTGTGCAAACAGTTATCCTTAAGGGTCCTTGTGAGTTTTCATAATCGCTGTTTAATTAGGAAATTTTGAAAAATTTTCATCAGTTTTTTTTCAAATAAAAATTGTGCATAAGTTAACGAGTAATCTTCTAAGTGTTATACCATTTTGGAATCCTTATTAAATGCGCCAACTTTTAAGGTTACTTGCCAAACTCTCGTAGTACATTTTTTCCAGTACAGCCAGTTAAAGTTGAGCAAAGTTTTACTTTGGAATACTTGGTTGGGAAATAAGTGGCAATTTTTCCTGAACGAGAAAAGTTGGCAGTAAGGTTGAGACACCAGTTTGAAGATGCATTATTCATCATTACATTGTAAAAATAAAATCCAAAAAAAGTTAATATTTGTAGTAACAGGAGTTGACAGACTGCGGTAGGGTGTGAAATTTCTATATCTTTTTCAAAGACCTATAATTTTCAAAACACATACATAAAATTTTTTTAAATATTTTTCTGATAGATGTTATGACTTTGCCTATCACCCGGTTTCGGCTTGATGTCGACTTCTGGGACACCCTGTATAAAAGTTTACAAACAAAAAAGCCTTAAGAGAATAAAGGACTATTATCCGATTTATGTTTTCTTCCCAGAATCTTCAACAATCAAATAATGAAGTATGAACTTGGTTTTCAAAGGTATTTAGGTAAATATTCATATGTGTCTATATACTTTTGCCCATTACTGTATATCCAAATACAGAAAGCAGTGATACTCAGTCTCTAATAATTGATTAAACTATTTCGCAATTACAATTTTAATCGCCGCAGTATTTTAATTTTTCCGTTTCGTGTCCGACCACGTGGAAGCGCTGTTTTCTTTGTTTCCGCAGATCGTGATTCCTGATAAATTGCTTATTTATAAAGCCGTAGACGATAGGAATACTCATTTTCACTTTTCGGAATACGAACAGCCATTATAATGAAATAAATAATTCATATTGTAAAAGGAAATAAACGCAATAACTTATGCACGATGCGTTTGAATTCTTCGTCGTCGTCGAACAAGACAATGTTATAGGCTTGAAGATATACATAAATGTAAGACATGCGTACATTGTGTACATATTATATTCAAACAAGAATGTAAGAGCGTTTGTTGTTGATAAAAACACAGTGGCGCTATAACGTGAGGAACTGACATAGAAACGTTGAACAAGAAAAACTGTAAGGCTGGCATAACTTTTTACACGCTTTCAATATGGTGGCCTCCGCAATATACGATATGATTTATATTTGTTACAGCCACCTCTATACTATGGGAATCAAATGGAAGGGCTTGATGGGACAAACATAATAAGCAAAGTGACGTCATTCTACATCCAATATTAAGATGTCATTGAGGAACGTGTAAACAATTTTTTTATATATCGAAGCAGCCGCGTAGGCAAAAGCCTAAATGCCGGAACACCGCGGCTGCAATGATGATCCCAAAGAAATTTTGTTAATACGATTTTTGAACTGCCTAAGGTTAGTAGAACTGGGAAAAGCTTCCTCCCGTAGTTTGTTCCACAATCTAGACACCCTCGGGACAAAGGAGCGATCGTATCGGCCATTTCTGGATGTACGAAGTTCGACACGGTTAGGATAGGACGCCAAAGTCAGGCGGGTGTGTCTGGCAGGTACATCGCGCGACGGCATCATGGAAGAGCGCTCTGAGGAGCAAAGCCCGTTGGTGTATACCATTTCATGGCTGCCGAGATATTTGAGAAAAACTAAAATTTGGCCAAATCATTATTTTATTTATTTCAAAAAATCTCAAAAAACGAATATATAAATTTAAAAAAAATCATTTACAAATACAAGATTTCATTTAGCTGTTCATAAAATGAACTGAAAATTTAAAAATATTTTTTTTTCGATTGAAAATATCTAGACGATAAGGCTCGTTAATCTCGAGTTTTCGAAATAAAAACGCGTGACGTTTTGACAGCAGCATGGAAAAAGGGAGTCGGATTTTCAAAATTCTCAGATTATCAAAATTCTTAGAATTTTCAGAATATTCAGAATTCTTAAGACTTTCAACATATTCGATTTCCAAAATTTGAAACCCTCAAAATATTGAATATTTCCGAAATTTACGAAACTTTCGAAATTCTCGAAGTTCTCAAATCTTGCACAATTTTCATTAAAGTTTACACAAATTTAAAGATCTTCAAAATTGCAAAATTTTTAAAATTTTCCTTGTCAAAATTTTCGAGAATTTTCAGAAATTTCAGAATGTTCTGTTTTTCAAAATTCAAGGTTAGAATATTCAGAATTCAGGATTTTCAAAACATTCAAAATTTTCCAGTTGTAAATATTTAGACGATAAGGAAGCTCGTTCATCTCGAATTTTTAAAACTATCAAAATTTTTAATTTCCAAAATTTAAGTTCCTCAAAATATTGAATATTTCCGAAATTTACGAAACTTTAGAAATTTTCGTTGACATTTCCACAAATTGAAGGATTTTCAAAGTACTCAAAATTTGCAAGATTTTCGTTAAAATTTTCACGAATTTAAAGATATTAAAAATTCTCAAAATTTGAAAAATTTTCTTATTTTTAAAATTTCCATGTCTCCAAAATTTTCGAGCATTTTCATAAATGTCAGAACTTTCAAAATTCGGGAGGTTCTATTTTTTACACCAAAGCGGACATAAGACTAAATGCCAGTGCACCGCGGCTGCTATGAGGATCCCAAAGAAACTTTGTTAATCCGAATTCAGGATTTTCAAAACATTCAAAATTTTCCGCTTGGAAATATTTAGACGATAAGGAAGCCCGTCCAGTTTTCAAAATAAATGCGCGTTACGTTTTGACAGCAGCATGGAAAAAGGGGGTCAAATTTTCAAAATTCTCAGATTATCGGAATTTCCAGAATTTTTAAGACTTTCAAAAATTTTGATTTTCTAAAATTTGAGATCCTCAAAATATCGAATATTTCCGAAATTTACGAAACTTTCGTCGACATTTCCACAAATTGAAAGATTTTCAAAGTTCTCAAAATTTACAAGGTTTTCGTTAAAATTTCCACGAATTTAAACACTTTAAAAATACTCAAAATGTGCAAAATTTTCTAGTTTTTAAAATTTTCATGTCTCCAAAATTTTCGAGCATTTTCATAAATGTCAGAACTTTCAAAATTCGGAAGGTTCTATTTCTTACACCGAAGCAGCCGCGCGGACAGAAGCCTAAATGCCAGGGCACCGCGGCTGCTATGAGGATCTCTTGTTAATCCGATTTTCAAAATTCAAGGTTAGATTATTCAGAATTCAGGATCTTCAAAACATACAAAAGTTTCAATTTTCAAAGTTTTCGATACTCAAAATTTCCAATATTTTCTATATTCAAAATTTTCAAATTCCACGATTTTAAAGATTTTCAAAATTCTGAAAATTTTCGTCATTTTCAAAATATTCAATGTCTCCAAATTTTCAGAATTTTTAAAAAAATTTGAAAAGCTGTCAGTTCTGTAAACCCGTGATGAGAACTGTGGAATGCAAATTAATGTTAAATCTCCACTTGAAGTTCTCTCAAAGGTAGAATATCCAGAATTCGGAATAATCAAAACATTGAAAATTTTCAATTTTCCAAAATTTTCGATCCCCAAAATTTTCAAAATTTTCTAAATCTTATCTTTTCAAAGTGTCCGTAGTTTTCAAAATATCCAATGACCAAATTTTTGAGAATTTCCATAAATTTCAAAATGTTTTAAAAAGTTTGCACGATTTTAAAGATTCTCAGAATTCAAAAAATCTTGAATTTTCAAAATTTTCCTAGTTTTCAAAATATTCAATGTCTCCAAATTTTTGAGAATATTCATAAATTTCAGAGTTATTTAAAAAATTGGTAGGTTCCACAATTTAAAATTTGTTAAAAATCTGAAAACCCGTGATGAGAACTGTTAAATCTCCACTTGAGGATCACTCAAGGTTATATTCAGAATCCACAATTTTCAAAACATTCATAATTATCAATTTCCAAAATCGTTAGTTTCCAATATTTCATAAATTTTCTAAACTTAATAACTGCCAAAATTTTTAATATTTTCCGTTTTCAAGATTATTCAATGTCTTCAAATTTTCGAGAATTTTTATAAATATCAACATTTTAAAAAATGGAAATTTCTCAGTTTTCAAAATTGAAATTTTTTAAAATTATAAAACCCCGTCATAAGAACTATTACAACCTATTGTGAAATACAAATGTTAAATCTTGAGGATCACTCAAAGTTAGAATATTCAGAATTTCGAATTTCCAAAATCCTCGAAATCTTCTATTCTCAAAATTTTCAATATTTCCAAAATTTTCTAAGCTCAATATTTCCAAAAACTTCCAAACACAAAATTTCCACTAATTTACTGATTTTCAAAATTCTCAAAATTTACAAATTTTTTTGTTTTCAAAATATCTATAGTTTTCAAATCATTCAATGCCAAATTCGAGAATTTTCATACATTTTTTTGAAAAGTTTTCAAAATGGAAAAATTAAAAAATCCGTGATGAAAACTATTACAACCTACTGTGAAATCCAAATGCTAAATCTCCTTAATGTTCGTCCAAAATCCAAGACACTTGGCCCTCAAAGGACTTAAGCGCTGTAATCTGAATGTATGCATCGAAGTTTTCTACAGCCACGCGTATCTATTTCCATTGTTATCGCATGTGGTACTCTCAGCATGGGTCCTGCAACTGTCGAAATAGACCTACTAAAATTACAAACAACTATTTTCGTATTCCAGGTTGATTGTCCTTGTCTAAATTAGCCGACGTACTTGTGCCAATAACTTCGGCAATTATATTCGACATTATGTAATACTAGTGGCAGAAATCCGAGTGGGAAGCGGTGCAGTTGTTGTTGTGAATGGTCACTTGTACATATTTTTACATAAATATAGAGCGCTACTAGAGCTAAAAGCTTACAAGTGGATTGAAATCGGTTCATAAGAAATATTCGCTGAGTGCTACAAAGTATCGTAGACGAGGCAAGAGTTCGCATTAGTTGGAGAAACTGTTCACACGATTTTTTAGGCAGAAGCCTAAATATCAGGGCACCGCGACTGTTGTGAAGAGCTTAAAAAAACTTTGTCAATCCTTCGATATACTGTGCCACAATGCCGATACCCTACGGACAAAGGAGCGGTCGTACTTGCCTGTTCTGGATGTGCAGAGTTCGATACGGTTAAGACCGGAGTCAGACGAGTGTGTCTGGCAGGCACATTGCCCTGCTGCATGATGTACCAAAGCTCTGAGGAGCAAAGCAGATGGTGTCCATACATAGACAGGCAGCATTTTGGTACGACTTCTTATGGTTAGGTGAGGAATTTCTTAGCGAATAAACAGCCGACTTATCATTCCACTTGCTAATTATAAACCTCCATAAAAATTTCGGACACTACGCAAAAATTTGCAGCAGACTGTTGAACGATCTGAGATATACCTGTTGAATTTAATTTTGTTAATAATTACAATTCAAATAGCATTCATGACAAAATTCACGTCTCTCGGCATTCTATTAGATAAGTTGTGCTGATTTCGTTTATCAGTTATCAACAATTTGCACATTGTTCTGTTCGGTAACAAAATGCTATAACTGCATTTTTTATGATAGTGCACGTTTGAAATAATTTAATCGCAATTTGAAAAAATCTATTAGATTAGATATATTAGGTAGCTCGGGTCTCAGTTCAGCACCAAGGGCGTTGGAGTTTAAATGTGTGGTGTGGCATACTGCGAGGCAAAATTATTGGGCCATATTTTTTGGAGCAATTCCTAAATGGCAATGTCTTTCTTGAATTTTTGGAAAATCAATTACCGTTGTTGGTGGAAGATGTGCCACTGGAAACACTTGTTCTTGTTGTTGGATGGCACATTTTGCTATTATTGTGCCTGAGCATATAATGAATATAATAATAGTTATGGGACGGTTAAAGGACATCGTGTTTCAGACTCAACCTACAACCAGAGAAGATATGAAAAACCGGATTCGTAATGCAATACGTAACATACGGAGAGCCGGAATTGAAGATGCAGTTTTGTCTACCCATGAGAGACTTTAGGAATGCATAGAGCGTGATTGACAGCATTTCGGGGGCATTAGAACCTTTCTTTTTTAAATCGGTCCTTTGTAGGGCCAAAACATATTAATATTATACTCGTATATATAATATATTATTATAATAAAAAGAAATACCAGAAAGATCAGTTCAAAAACAGAAATTTCTGTATAAAACTTTCTTTGGCCTAAATTTTAGTTTACGAACAAGATATCGACACGCGGTTTTCGCGAGCTTTTTTAGACATCATTTAGCTACTTTTTCATAAAAAAAATCCCTGTACAACTATTTGTTCAAAATACTGAGTTACATCAAGCAACAAGTTTGGCATATAACTGACTAAAATTGGGTTGTATCGTACTTTTATAATACATAGTTATCTTAATGTAATGGACATTAACAATAATGATACTTATACAGAAGAATGTAAGATTTCCTACATGAGTATATGGATCAATTGAAGTCCGTTTTATATACTGCCTAAAGCACTATATCCAGCTTTGATACTTCAAATATACTCAATAATACTGACACGGGCTTTGCATTTATCTTTTCACAGTGATACACTAGGTTGTCTTGGGATGTCTGAAAACTAGGCATTGGCCTTTTGTGCTAGACCTAAGAGCGTCGGCTCAGATTCAGAAGGTATTTTCTCATAAAGAGACCCGCTATGTCACTTGCGACTAACCATTTTAATCTAAACGGGTTCTTTGTAAAAGCAGACTCCTTCCATCCACGACCTCATCTCCTGTACGATCAGGCCGATCCAAAGATTTGCGTATAACAGCACTCTATAGGCAGGCATTATGAGAACCATAGCGACTTCCTCTTTGTCGAGAAACATCTAAGTGACCACTTCTTAGGAATACAACCGTCTAGAACAGTTCAATGCTTTCAAAGCACATTAATGTACCTTGACTAACAAGCAACGCCCTAGAATATTTCCGCTTCCGATGATCGACTGAGTTCTACCATCTCGGCTGGTCGGAGTTGAGATCGAGACCCTTTCACATCGACGACCTATCGACGTTCTGGCCCTCTTATACTGCTATGTCACCGGGCTTTGCTCCTCACAGCTCTTATTCATGATGCCGCCGCGCGATAAGGCTGCCAAACAAACCCGCCTGACTTCGGCTTCTTAACCTAACATGCTTTATCACAGTCACCACACTTGAAATGCATGTAAGATTTTGGATACCACAATATCATTTCATACACCTCGCGAAAAAATAATTTTAACGACGGAGTGACGCTTCTCTTCTATAGTCGATATTATTTCAACAATACCTAGATGCTTTTTGAACCAGCTCAGCCGCTAATATTACGTTGCAATTCGGTGTTGTTGGAGGTCAGAAGTATGACATATAATGACTAAAATTGAGTTGTACCGTACTTTTATAATACACAGCTATCTTAATGTATGGACATTAACAATAATGATACCTATACAAAAGAATGTAAGATTTCCTACATGAGTATATGGATCAATTGTAGTCCATTTTATATACTGCCTAAAGCACTATATCCAGCTTTGATACTTCAAATATACTCAATAATACTGACACGGGCTTTGCATTTATCTTTTCACAGTGATACACTAGGTTGTCTTGGGATGTCTGAAAACTAGCCACTGGCCCTTTGTGCTAGACCTAAGAGCCTCGGTTTAGATTCAGAAGGTATTTTCTTATAAACAGACCCTGTACGTCCCTTGCGACTTACCATTTTAATCTAAACGTGTTCTTTGTAAAAGCGCACTCCTATTCTTCCATCCACGACCTCATCTCCTGTACGATCAGTCCGATCCAAAGGGTTGCGTATAACAGCACTCTATAGGCAGGCATTATGAGAACCATAGCGACTATGCTTCCAAATCACACTGATGTACCTTGACTAACAAGAAACGCCCTAGAGTACTTCCTGTTCCGATGATCGACTGACTTCTACCGGGCGTTGCTCCTCATAGCTCTTATCCATTATGCCGCCGCGCGATAGGGCTGCCAAACAAACCCGCCTGACTTCGGCTTCCCAACCTAACCTGCTCTATCACAGTCACCACACTTGAAATGCATGTAAGATTTTGGATACCACAATATCATTTCATACACCTCGCGAAAAAATAATTGTAACGACGCAGTGACGCTTCTCTTCTATAGTCGATATTATTTCAACAATACCTAGATGCTTTTTGAACCAGCTCAGCCGCTAATATAACGTTGCAATTCGGTATTGTTGGAGGTCAGAAGTATGACATATAATTACTAAATCAAACGAACTTACCTGTAATGAAGTTCGATTGTAATTATATGAAGTCCTCGTGAAGTAAATAAGAACAAACGTAGTCTCTCTATTCCACACCGTACATCACGAATTTTTAAAGTAAACAAACCGCCCCGTCCGCTACCCCGCTACCCGGCCACGTCGGTGGTACCGTCGTGTGCATGTCTCATTATTCAAAGATCTGTCTGCAGTTGATGCAATTAATAATAGGGAAAAATAAAACGGGGAGGGAGGGACTTATTTACTTCACGAGGACTTCATATAATTACAATCGAACTTCATTACAGGTAAGTTCGTTTGATTTAGTAATTATATTTCGTCCTCGTTCCGTAAATAAGAACAAACGTAGATGTTTAAAGCAAATAATTGTGCAACTGCAGACGAAACAAAAAATTTTAGGCTCTATAAGAGGAAAATAAGAAGTTCCAAAATCTTATTTTAACGAATATAATTCGAATAAGAAACACATTCGAAATACTGGTATGAATTCAACAGCGGAAGAACAACATTAACATTATATAATAGTAAACATAAAACATAACATTATAACCGCAAACAACATTAAACTAGGGAATAACCCTAAGGTATTTAAGAAAACAGAGTAACTAGTTAAATATTTAGCTAGTTCCTAAACTCAGAAATAGTTTACAACACTGGCATAATTTATCATAAGGAATAACTAAGGAATACTATTGTTAAGTGAAAATAATAATTAGTTATGTAGCTGGTTGATCTAATATGACCCTCGCATAAGCATAAGAATCACAAACCGGTCTCTTATAGAAGTTTGCAAATGTTTTTGAATGTCCGGTCCAACCAGCAGCTGACCTAATTATATCTATTGATACACCTCTACGATCCGCTAAGGAAGTAGATGCATGTCTTGTTGAATGAGATGCAAATTTAGAGGTATCAATACCAGCTTTAATTAAAACATTTCGAATCCAACGTGAAAATGTTTGTGATGAGGCATTATGGTACGGTCTTTTAAAGGTGATTAAGAGCATGTTACATACAGCATTTCTTACATCCTTCGTTTTTTCTATATAAAATAGGAGAGTGCTGGCGACACAAATATTTTCATCGCTTCTGAAAAAGGGTAAAGAAATAACAGGCTGGGCTTTACCTGGCCCAGAGGTTTTTATACGATCGCGAATAAATATCTGAACGCCTTGGGATGAAGATTTTATGTCATCAAGTTGAATAAGAGAAAGCGTTTGAACTCTTTGAGCTGAGGTAAGAGCTAACAATGTTGCTAATTTATATGATATTTGCTCTAGTGTGCAATCTCCATTAGTTAGTGTTCGCAAATAATCTAAGACAAGTGATGGATCCCAGATATTTTGATACTTCGGCAAACTAGGTCTCAAATGAAATACACCTTTAAAAAACCGTTTTACGCGAAAATCTTGTGCTAATGAGGGGCCTAAAACCTGGGCTAAAGCGGATCGATGGGAATTGAGTGTACCATATGACGCTCCCTTATTATATTCTTCCTGCAAAAACTCGAGGACAGTCGCAATTGAAGCAGTGAAGCAACTCTCATTTCTGGATTTACAGAATTGATACCATCGCTTTAAACCGGAATCATATTGTTTAACAGTAGATTCTGTAATTGAAGCAAGGCAGACCTCAATTGCAGACTTCGGCGTTCCTCTTAATTCTAAACCCTGCCGGATAAGAGACCTGCAACCAGGATAAGTTGTGGCCATAAGGGATGTGTCTGAGATCTGTCAAAACATAAAAGGACATCTTTACTAGCCGGAAAATAAATTGGTGGCTTTTTAAGAAGAGATGTAAAAATGGGGTACCAAGGCTGTGTAGGCCAATGCGGCACAACTACTATACCTTGGGCCCTGTCTCTAATGATTTTATGCACAACTTTAAGTATTATTGAAAAAGGGGGGAAGGCATAAAAATGATAAGTACCCCAATTGACAGTAAAAGCGTCCACTTTGAATGCAAGAGGATCAGGATGCCACGAAATAAAAATTGGACATTTAGAGTTAATGCGACTAGCGAAAAGATCTATTTCTGGGATTCCAAATCTTGAAACAATTTCTCTGAAATATTTGTCGTTCAACTCCCATTCCGTCTCAGGATGTAACCTACGTGATTCTATGTCTGCAATTATGTTATCCTTACTGTTAATGTAAGACGCATATATAAATAAATTTTTGCTTTCACACCACTGCCAAATCTCACGACACAGTGAATTTAATTTAAAATATTGAATGCCTCCCATTCGATTTATATAGGCAATGGCTGTAGTATTATCAATGCGTAAGAGAATATTTTGGTTAGAAAGATGACCGGCACAACATTTTAAACCAAAAAATGCTGCCTTTAATTCTAAATAATTAATGTGTTCTTTCCTTTCTTCTAAGGACCAAAAACCATGAGATCTAACATTATTACAAAATATTCCCCAGCCCGTTAAGCAGGCATCTGAAAAAATTTCCAATTGGAAAAAATCCAACTTAATAGAGTTGGTACTATCATTTTCTATATGCGATAGCCACCACCTGAGATCGTTATATAACAGTGGAGAAATAGCCATAATTCTATCATAATTTCCATCTGTTCGCTTCAAGGCTAAACATTTTTCTCTTTCCATTAATTTAGTATACAACCATCCATAACGAACAGCCGGGCATATAGAAATTAATTTTCCGATTATTTTGGCGAAAAAGCGTATCTTACAGCGCGTATTCCTTAAAAGATATCTAACATATCTTAGAAGTGAATCTTTCTTATCCTCCGGTATAGAAATTGACATATCTTGAGAATCATAAGTAAACCCTAGATATCGAACAGTCTTTGACGGAGTTATAACACTCTTTTGATAATTTATAAGAAAGCCCAATTTCTCTAGAAAATTGATAGTTAAGGAAACATTTTTCTGGCATTCATCCAATAATTCCCAATAATAAAAAATCATCAAGATACAGCACCGAAAGTAAGCCTTGTCCTCTAAGAAATGAAAGGACAGGTTTCATTAATTTGGTGAATACAAGAGGGGCACAATTGAGGCCAAAAGGTATGCAATTATATTCAAATAATTCACCATCAAACCTGAATCTTAAAAACTTCTTATAATGTTTATTAATGGGAACTAAATAGTATGCATGCTTCAAATCCAGGGTGGACATGAAATAATTTTCCTGAATAATATTGCATACTGTTCTTTGGTCTTCAAGCTTAAAATGTTCTGCTTTAATAAAGTTATTAAGAGATTTTAAGTTTAAGATTAAACGCTTTGAACCATCAGTCTTAGGAACGAGGAAAATACTTGATATGTATTCTCCTTTATAATGTGTGACTTTTTGAATAGCGCCAGAGGCTAATAACTCTTGAATTGATTCTCTTAAGGCTGACTTCTCTGAATTTGACCAATGCCTCTCCAAGGGTCGTACCTTTTGGATTGGTCTGGTGACAAAAGGAATTTTCAAACCAGAAATCCATGATAAAATATTTTTATCTTTAGTAATTTCTTGCCACATAGGTAAATAATTACGTAATCGACCAACTGTGCAACCCACCTCGCTCTGATCTATCGATTCTGTTTGTGGTATTGACGTACATCCTGTCGGCGACGACGATCCTGGTCCGAGGTTCTTCTCTGTGTTTGATGAGGCCTTTTTTGGAACGACTGAGAGGGATTTGGGATCTTTATCGGCCGCCCACCTCGAATGTTTCCCCTTTGTGTTCGACGAGGTGGACGGTAAAAGTTTTCCGGAACCTGTTTGGCAGGTTGTTTAAATGAGGTACTAGGTCTAGATACTCTAGTAGGTTTCAGGTCCAAACCAGATTTTTCAATATCCTTGGTAGCTTTTATTCGCTCACCGAGATCCTTGCCGAACAACCATCCGTCAGCAGACACATTAGTCAGAGTTTCTTTGAGATCTTTCCGTAAATTCAGTATCAATAAATCTCTACGGATTACCGAGTATTTGTGATAAAAATCTAAAAGTAATCTACTAGCATCACTAGCTAATTCAACATAAGCCAGGTTCCCCCCCCCCCCTTCTTCAGACACAACTGCTGATGCTAGTTGACCCAATGCTGACAGTGCAGCTCCTATTTGGTTCTGAAGCCCATTGAGGTTTGAGTCTCTACGAGCTACTTGTTCATTAATCGCTGAGGCAACTTCTGGATTTATACGGGGGCATTTTAAAAGTGGGCAGTTTTCAGGAGGGGGATATTTTTTGAGCAAGGTATTGACGGAGGCCTCGCTTAACCCGTTGCTTAAAATAAATGACCATCTGCTAGTTAGATCCACATGAATGCTTGGTCCAAGCACGTCTGCAGATGGCTTTTCATCTCCCAGAAGAGCTAGTATACTAGCATCTAGAATTGAACTTCCCCCATCTGTAAGAGAGGAACCATATTATATAATAAACGGTCGTAGATCTAAAATATGCCATAATATTTCAGAAAACTGATAACCAATAATTATGTGAAACAATACCATAATTGTACTGGATTGTCATGGCAATTTTGTGTAAAATATGTCATAATATTTCAGAAAACTGATAACAAATATGTGAAACAATACCATAATTGTACTGGAGTGTCATGGTAATTTTGTGTAAAATATGCCATAATATTTCACAAACAATCAAAGAAGTGCAGGGAAAATACACCATAGTATTTTCGAAAAATTGACAGCACAACTTGTAAAAAATACCATGCAAGGAAAATACACCATAGTATTTTCAAAAAATTGACAACAAATCTTGTAAAAAATACCATAATTATTTACAAAATAAAGTGTCATGATAGGTATTATTTGTAATGTAAAATATGCCATAATATTTTACAAAATTAAATCTAATGATTCGTAGATTCCCATCATGCCAAATTGTTCCAAAATACTCTCAATTCAGTACTAATTTAATTCAAAACAAACTTTCAATTGGAGTGGTGTTGGTTATGCATGAGCCGGCAACCTCGGAATCCACGGCATCAGCATTCCTGGCCGCAAAAGCTGATAACGGCACATCGTCGTCGTCTGAGTGATCGGGCGTGGTAAAAACATCACTCTGGGGGGATGGAGAACGGTGAGACCTTCTGCCCGTTGAATGGTGCCTCTTCAACCGCTTCTTCAATCTTGCAATTTTCCAAATGATATAATCATCACTGCCCGAGTCACTAAAATCAGGTCTCTTGCGCTTTTCTGACATCGCAAACAAAAAACTAGGCGGAGCACTATTATACGAAATTTCGGTCGGCAACGAAACGCGTTGTACGGCACGAAAACAGAGAATGAGACATGCACACGACGGTACCACCGACGTGGCCGGGTAGCGGGGTAGCGGACGGGGCGGTTTGTTTACTTTAAAAATTCGTGATGTACGGTGTGGAATAGAGAGACTACGTTTGTTCTTATTTACGGAACGAGGACGAAATATAATGACTAAAATTGAGTTGTACCGTACTTTTATAATACACAGCTATCTTAATGTATGGACATTAACAATAATGATATACAAAAGAATGTAAGATTTCCTACATGAGTATATGGATCAATTGAAGTCCATTTTATATACTGCCTAAAGCACTATATCCAGCTTTGATACTTCAAATATACTCAATAATACTGATACGGGCTTTGCATTTATCTTTTCACAGTGATACACTAGGTTGTCTTGGGATGTCTGAAAACTAGGCACTGGCCTTTGTGCTAGACCTAAGAGCGTCGGCTTAGATTCAGAAGGTATTTTCTTATAAACAGACACGCTATGTCACTTGCGACTTACCATTTTGATCTAAACGTGTTCTTTGTAAAAGCGGACTCCTATTCTTTCATCCACGACCTCATCTCCTGTACGATCAGTCCGATCCAAAGGTTTGCGTATAACAGCACTCTATAGGCAGGCATTGTGAGAACCATAGCGACTATGCTTCCAAAGCACGCTGATGTACCTTGACTAACAAGAAACGCCCTAGAGTACTTCCTGTTCCGATGATCGACTGACTTCTACCGGGCGTTGCTCCTCATAGCTCTTATCCATTATGCCGCCGCGCGATAAGGCTGCCAAACGAACCCCCCTGACTTCGGCTTCCCAACCTAACCTGCTATATCACAGTCACCACACTTGAAAAGCATGTAAGATTTCGGATACCACAATATCATTTCAGAAACCTCGCGAAAAAATTATTTTAACGACGCAGTGACGCTTCTCTTCTATAGTCCATATTATTTCGACAATACCTAGATGCTTTTTGAACCAGCTCAGGCGCTAATATAACGTTGCAATTCGGTGTTGTTGGAGGCCAGAAAAGGTAAAAGGTGCAAGTTGGATCGTATTTGTAATCCTGACTGTGCAAAATAAAAACAGTAAAAAAGGTTGGATTAAGATAAGTTCAAGATCCTTATAACAGTCGCTAATATTTTTTTTTTCGCTTGACTCTGCCCTGATTGGTCATTTCCCGTTCTGCGAACTTTTTCTTGGTCCACTTTTACCGCTTGACGAAAAAAAAATGTCCATGCATGATAAATCCATCTCTTTGAAGCCGTGTTTTTACCTGACGTATTTTTTAATTTGAAAATGGATTCATGTATATCGATGCGTGGGCAGTACCATGTGATTAAACTTGACTCCAGTTTTTTAATGTTAACGCACTAGCAGTGCATCTCTGAAAGCTCATCATGTATAACAAGCTAACGCGCTCCTTCTTCGAGTCTAATTATAGAAGAACGATCCTGCCAGTAAGTACTTCCTGGTGACACAACGGTACCCGCATACACATACGTAACCATATACAGGGTGTTAAAGATAAACGCTTTTTGGATAGCAGACATGCATTTTTTGGCTTCCCGGTGTTGTACAAATACTAGCGGATATTTAGAAACCCCTAAAGTGCCTAAGCCTGTTTTTCAAATAAAAAATTCGTTGTGCCTGAAAAAAAATGTGTTGAGCTTATTTTTGAGACAAAAAAAACGAAAATTCATAGTTTTTTAAGTTTTCTTCTAGGAGCGACGTTCCAGTCACTCAGCGTTAGACCGCACTGTATAGAAAAGCATGCAGTCTTAATCATAGAAAACATTTTCCACGAAATATAATTTTTCTAAAATCGATTTTTATAGACCAAATTATGTTGAAAAAATAAAAATCGATTTTTAAGTATCATACACACACTTTCTACGCCAATGGTCGACAAAGTGTTGTAATCGCGACAAATTTCGTAAAATGAGAAATTATAGTTTTTGGATATATCTTTGTCTATTTGTCTGTTTGTCTGCTAATCCTTGGACCGCCTATAACTTGGAAAGTACTGGTCGGATTTTGTTATAATTTTCACAGGTCACTACTATGCCAAAAATAAAAAAGCTTTATAGTTTTTGAAAATCGATTCAGTAGCGGAGTGGCTAGGGGCAAAGACACAAAAAAATCGCTTAAACGTTTTTGACGTTTCTCCCGGTCATTTTCCAAAAATTTGTTTTATCGATTGCAATTTGAGGGTGGTGCTCATTTTTCATCAGCAAATCAAAAGTTTCCCCATGTACTTGGCCTTAAAAATAGGCATTTATATGTTTGACTAGTGTTGTTCAGCAGCGTTGCCAGATGGTCGATACTTAGAGCAGGAAAGAAAGTGGTGTTAGCATTATGGACTATGCAGTATGTATATGGGACTGTTTGGCTGACTTGACCTATTTAATTTCTTTATTAGACATGTCAAAGGAACTGGACCGAACATAATTCTTTATGCACTGATAACATGGTTCAACCTACTTGACGTCATTTGTTTACTAAATTCCACATCCCTGCTAATAATCCAAGGGGAGAACGTACATATACAAGGAGCTCAGTGAAGCTCAAGTCATATGATCTTGAGCCAAAGTTACCAGAAATAAACCAACGAATATGCTACAAAATACACATAGTATATACGTATCCACGGTTCATAAAGTAGTAAAACGGAATTATTATAGTTGCTTCTTTTATTATTGTCATAAAACGAGGCGACCCAAATCCAAATTCAAATATTTATTTTATCTCTCATTTCAGTGTTTAATTTAACGATACAAGTGACTTTTTGGTGACTTTCTTTACACTAGGCAACCATAATGATAACTGTATACAAAATGTTGCAAAAATAATTGCAAGTACTATAAATAGATATATATTTCTTCAATCAATGGCTAGTTTATGCAATACGTATCAATAACATAATAACACTTCCAGTCACATAATAATTGCAGCTTTCAAAGGTTGGGAGTATTTATACAAGATATAATGATACCAGTTATAACGATAAAGTAATTATAGGTAAACGGTGCCTATACTTGCTGGTAATAAGGTGCTAAGTTCGTAGAAAAATAACTTTATTTGTTCACAAACTATATCCGACCAGTCTGCATCTTATGCCGGAATTAAGTTTCCTAGTCAGATCTCAAAGATAGACAGCAACAGGTGGCTCTGGGAACGAGTATTTCAAATTTACGGAATGTTTCTTCAGGGTTACCACACTGTTCCTTCAAAATTAATATAAACTATACAACGAATGTACCATGTATCCAGCATTCACCAGGTTATTGGGTGTTTCCTTCAACCAAAACGTTAATAACATTTAGCAAAAATCTCACGTACGACTGAAAGTTAATTTATAATCATTTTGCACGATAGTTGCTATTTCTTCTCAATGTTATTGCAGCTCTTGATGATAGCTAGAGATTAATAAAGTATAAAGAGTCCGCTTTGCAACAATTTTGTCGAAGTGCCCAACAAAAGGCGGAAGCTTTATTTTTCACCTAACTGGTCTAAACAACAATTACCGCCGTCTCAAGTTATATATGTATATACTAAGTGACATATAAATCCGAACACCCAGTTTAAATGGTTTTATTTTAATAAAAGTTGGTGAATGTATTTATCTTACTGTAAATAACAAGTGAAAAAATTTTCTACTACTACTTTTTTTAATTCACTAACGCTCTAAAAATGAATATTTCAGCCGCAGTAAAGAATCAACCTTGGCGGATTTTGGTTCTTGACATCCTTTACGATCGGTGTACGGAAACCTGTACGATTTCGTCAACTTAGTGAGTATGATAGGGGCCGTATAGTGGGACTTCGGGAAGTTGGACTTTCTTTTCGGGCAATTGCAGTTAGAGTGCAAAGAAGTGTAGACCCTGTGGTTAGGTGTTGTCAGGCATGGCTTCGTGAAGGCCGTACGCAAAGAGCAAGGAGCACTGGACGCCGCCGTAGAACAACAGACAGTGAAGATCGCCGCCTAAGATTATTGGCCTTAAGGGACCGTTTCTCCACTACCAGGTCCATTGCAAATGGATGGATTGCAGAACACGGAAGACCTATTGGCATGCGAAGTGTTTACCGACGAATGAGAAGTTTTGGCTTTTCATACCGGCCACACTGGATCCTCCCTTTAACTCGAGAACACCGACGTAATCGCCTTGAGTGGTGCAGACAACGGTCACTCTGGGATCAGGAATGGAACAGTATTGTCTTTAGTGACGAGTCTCGATTTTGTTTAGGCATGCACGATGGTCGTGCCAGGGTTAGAAGGCGACGTGGTGAAAGGAGGAATCCGCAGTTTTTTGTTGAAAGACATGTTCATCACACTGTTGGAGTTATGGTTTGGGGTGCTATACATTATGGTTCCAGGTCACCTTTAATCTTCATCAGAGGTAACATGAACGCGCAGCGTTATATCCACGAAGTTCTAGAACCCCATCACCCTATCTTGAAACCCTGGCAGATCCAACTTTCCAACAAGATAATGCCCGACCACATGTTGCAAGAGTCACAATAGACTTCTTTCACCATAATGATGTCACATTGTTACCATGGCCACCAAGATCTCCCGACTTATCCCCAATTGAGCACGTGTGGGATATGATGGGTATGAGATTGCTCAATTTGCAACGTCCTCCTCAGACTCTAGAAGCACTTCGAGAGGAGTTGGTGGTTGCCTGGAATGAGATACCACAGGAGGACATTGACCACCTGATCAGAAGCATGCCTAGGCGCGTTGGAGAATGCGTAGCACATCAGGGTGCATCCACACATTATTAAAGGTCAAAGGGCTTTAAAGCAGTGCAATCATTTTGAAATTTTTATCATTTACTTATTATGCTTCATTAAGTACTTATACAAAATTTTATTAAAATAAAACCATTTAAACTGGGTGTTCGGGTTTATATGTCACTTAGTATATATATATATATATACAGGGTGGCGCATCGAACACGAAACTGGCGCATTTACTGGCAGCTCAGTTTTTT